CCGTGCCTGTATCCTTGTAACTAATCAGTCGATTAATATTTACACTGACTCTCAGTATGCCTTTAAAGTCTGTCATTCTGCTGGACAAATTTGAAAACAACGTGGGTTCCTTACATCTTCTGGATCCTTTATTTCGCATGCTGTTATAGTAAAAACTTTACTAAAGGCTATTTTACTACCTAAGCAAATTTCTGTCATGCATTGCAAAGCTCATACAGGTGACTCTGACCCAGTCAGTCTAGGAAATGCTTATGCCAATAAGCATGCCCAACTTGCAGCTATTCATGGTTCCCTGCTTTCAGTTCCCCTTTTTCCACTGCTCGACCTCTCCCCTTCTACTATTTCTCTCTTACAAGATGCAGCTCCTGAGTCAGAAAAAAGTGCCTGGAGTGCAGCTGGCTGCATCTTGCACTCTGATACCTTATGGCGCTCTCCTGACGGACGTACTGTTGCCCCTAAAGGTCTTGTTTCTCGTCTTGCATGCGCGGCTCATGAGATGAGCCATGCGTGCAAAATGGGGGTAGCAGAAACTCTATTAAGAGATTGGTATGCGTCCACTATACATGCAGAAGCTCAAAAAGTCTCTCAGACGTGTGCAATATGTCTGCAACATGGAATTAGTAAACCCATTCATGTACAGGCTAGTGCTATGCCATGGTCTTATGGTCCATTCCAAAATTTACAAGTGGATTTCATTGACTTACCTCCTGACAAAGGATTTAAACATGTGCTTGTCATTATATGTCATTTTAGCAAGAGCAGATGCGATTTCTGTTGCAAAAAAGTTAATGACTGAACTAATTCCACGTTTTGGAGTACCTCTTACCATAGATTCAGATCAGGGACCACATTTTATTTCTCAAATTCAAAAGGCACTCAGTAAAGCCTTAGGATTTACCTGGAAATTCCACATACCATACCATCCAGCCAGTTCAGGAAAGGTAGAACGACTTAACCAAAACATAAACACCAAATTACCAAAGCTTTGTAAACAAACTGGACTCCCGTGGCCTGATATTTTTCCTATTGTGCTTATGCACCTTAAAAACATGCCTAATAGGAAACATGGGCTCACCCCACATGAGATACTATTTGGAAGGCCTATGAACATTGGCTTAAGCCCTATTAGAGAAATTAAAACAACTGATTTGTTTGAAGGTCATGAAAATGTGCTAAACTATTGCAAAGGGCTCATAAATACTGTCAAAGCTTTATTTTCACAGGTTAGTGCTGCTTTACCGATCCCTACTGATATTCCTTGCCACTCCTTAAGCCCTGGGGACTGGGTCCTTGTAAAGGAGTTCCAACGGAAAGACTGCTTGCAGCCCAGGTGGAGTGGACCTTATCAAGTTTTGTTAACAACCAACACTGCTGTAAAGGTTGAGGGAAAACCTGCCTGGATCCATGCATCTCACTGCAGAAGAACTGTAACACCAGAGCAAGAAGACCTCCAACAGACAACAGCTGTATCCCAACCAAGGTTAAAACCTTTCCCTGAGGCTGAGGACAAAGACCCTCAGGACCTCACTCAATCAAGTGAGAAGTATCAAGGTGCAAGTAATAGTGATCTTGCTGGTGAACCTAACACCCTGATTCAGCTGAATCCACCAGTTGAAGAGCGAAGGTATTATCTGCGGCCTCGAAAGAAGTAAATGCATCCATTTGGAAGATCACCACCTCGACCAAAACCAAGAGCCGAAGTTATCAGTCCTCTCGGTAACTTAGGCCCAGAAAATGAGGAAAAACTTTGGTTACCCTCTTGGATGTGGCTGGTAGTAGGTTTTGTCCTACTGGTGTGGGTAGTGTTCATTGTTGAAATATTTTGTCCTTTCTGTTTTTTTAAACTGATTAGTGCTATTGACATCAAGGTGAACAAACAGACAACGAAAACCAGAAGAGTTGCCTGCAGAGGCAAGCCAAATAATACTTGCCAACATGATTGAAAAACTTGTCATAACTGCTGTCTTGTTTAGCTCAATTGCTTTAAGCACTGCAAATGTTTACTTAAGTCTGCTGCAGAAAGTATCAAAAGCTCTAAATGAATCAGATTGCTGGGTATGCGGCCTGAGTCCTAGGACTCATAGCAAAGGATTCCTCATGATCCCTCACCCCTTAAGTTTAGAGCCGAATAGAAATAGAGTGATCCTTCTTTTGAAGGATCAAAGGGGGGAATGAAGGGGGAATAAAATGGAGTTGAATTGCCATTATGTATAAGCAAGCAGATCACGTATGTTGCTTAAGCTATGAGGAAGTTAAAGGACATGACCCAAAACTGCTAGGCTAGGGCGAACTGGAACAATCCTGTCCTAGTCCAGTAAAAGCAGAAACTTAGTGTAGAAGTAGCCATGTACTGGCTTGCTGAGTCAGCCCAGAACGGGAAGTGACCCTGTGGTTACAAGCTAGAAGAAACCAGTTAAACTAACACTGCTATACTAAAAATAAGTAGATACATGTGCATTACTATCTAAGTCATGGCAAATGCTGATTGGTGTATGCTGTTGCTGTGCTTATGATGTCATATTTTCTAAATAAACTCGCCTCACCTATTGTATGGGGTCAGACATCTTCACAATTCTCCAACTGTGTATGAGTCTGTCCAGAATGCATTCTCTAATAAACCAAGTTCTTTTTTTAACTTTCATTAGTCTGTTCGTCTGAGCCTCCGCCCAACGAACCAGGGACAAGTTTTCCCCAACAGGTTACCTAGATAGGTTGTGGAATCTCCATACTTGGCAGTTTTTAAAGCCTGGCACAACAAAGACTTGGCTGGAATTATCTAGTTGGGAATGGACTAGGTGACCTGCTGAGGTCCCTTCCAACCCTAATGTTCTATGACTCTATGATTCTATGACCCTCGAACCAGTCCTGGTCACCCGTGGTGACCTGTGGCAGTTCCTCCCACAAAACCTGGCAAGCATTGGTGTTGGTTGCATGTGATGAGAAGAGCTCTGTGTAGAAAGCCCTTGCTCTTTCTCGCAGCTTGCCAGGGTCTACAAAGGGAGTAGGAGGTGAGTGATGTACTTCTCCCTCCTCTTCTCCAGGGTATAGAAGTAGAAGCCAAAGTCTACCTCCCAAGGGAGCTGGACATGCAAGCAGATAAATGCACCATGGGTGCAATAGTCATCCAGAGCCCAGAGCTCTTCCTGCCTCTCCTGATACTCTTTGCAGAGGGACACATTGTACAGGTCAGTAACTAGGACCCCCCTCCAACTCCAGCACTTCCCTCTCAAGCTTCTCTGTAACTGCTTCCTGCTGTTGGGTGTGCATTCCACCATAATAGTTTCATAGTAGTTTCATAGTAGGTAGGGTTGGAAGGGACCTGAGCAGATCATCAAGTCCAACCCCTTGCCATGGGCAGGAAAGAATGCTAGGGTCAAATGAACCTGGCCAGGTGGTTATCTAACCTCCTTTTGAAGACCCCCAGGGTAGGAGCAAGCACCACTTCCCTTGAAAGTTGGTTCCAGATCCTAGCCACCCTGACTGTGAAGTAGTGCCTCCCAGTGAATAATGACTCAGTTCCATCAATCAATACTCTCTGGGTCCTACCACGGAGCCAGTTACCTAGCTACCAGGCTGTAAAGAGGCTGCATTTTCCCAATTTTTTCATGAGAGCATCGTGGGAGACCAGGTCAAAGGCCTTTGTGAAGTCTGAGTATATGACATCAACCTCATTTCCCCTATCCAGGTGGTGAGTTACCTGATTGTAGAAGGAAATGAGGTTGGTCTGGCATGACCTGACCAAAATGAAGCCATGTTGGCTATCTTTCAGAATACTGCCTTCTGCTAGCCTGTCTAACTGATTCTTTGATCATTTTCTCCAGGATTTTACCAGGGATTGAGGTCAAACTGACTGTCCTGTAATTTCCTGGGCCCTCCTTTCTCCCTTTGTTAAAGATAGGCACCATGCTGGCCTTCCCCCAATCTTCTGGGACCTCTCCCAGGTGCCATGAGTCTTCAAATAATTTTGCCATAGATCATGAGATGACATCCGCCAGTTCTTTTAGCACTCTCAGGTGTAGTTCATCTGATCCTATCCCCATGAGAGGATCCCCCCCATCATGATCATCTTGTATCCTGTCAAGCAGGCTAACACCCTTGGACTGGTGGAATACTGATGTGAAGTATTCATTCAGCAGTTCAGTTTTGTCCTGAGTGTTCGTCCCATTTCATTTATCAGGGGCCCTATGCTTCCCTTATTTGTTCTCTGACTTCCTACATATCTAAAGAAGGACTTCTTGTCCTTGATCCCAGTTGCCAATTTGTATTCACTTTGTGCTTTTGCTGTCCTGAGCTGCTGCCTACAGGGGCAGGTTGTTGCTGAGTACTCCTCTTTGGTAGTTATTTCTGACTCCATCCTTTGTAGGCTTCTTGTTTTAATTCAGGAGGTCCATG